CCCTCCCCTCCTCCTCCTCCTCCTCCTCCTCCTCCACCTCCTCCTCCTCCTCCTCCGCCTTCCCTCGCCCCCACGCGAGCTTCAGGGGTGGCCCGAAAAGGCTCTCCAAGGCCACCCCCTTGCTCCAGAGATCTCTCTGCTCACCCTGGCTGCCCGCTTTGTTTGACTATATGTGTCTCTTCGCCCCATGCATAAGCAGACTTGTTGTATGGGCTGGCGGGGTTACACGAAGCGTGAAGCGTTCCACCAGCCCTTTGGGCGAAGGTGGTGCAGCGATACCTTTATTTCCTGTTCCAAAAACTGCTTCCCTTCTATGTTTTTTCTCGGGGGCGCGACGCGTGAGGGCGCCCAAGATGGCTGCATTAGGGCCTCCAATGCTCCAAGACGGCCGCCAGGATGGCTCAATCCAGCCGACGATCGTTCACGATAGCTTCCGGCATACCTCCAAGAGGCCCGACGAGGGGCACGAGACGGTTCCAGGTGCTCCCGGAGACCCCCATCAGGACACCCCCTGAGGGGCCCAAATCTGCAAAAAAGCATGGAAAGTCAATGAGGTTGGCCCGAAGATGGCCCCAAGATGGCCCCAAAAAAACAATGGAAAATCGATGATGTTGGCCCGATGCGCTTTGGGGATCTGAAGATGGCCCCAAGATGACCAAAGAGAGCCCCAATATTGGTCCAAGACGCGCCCAAAACGGCCCCAAGGGCGCCCAAGATCAGGCCAAGAGCGTCGCAAGAGCGCCCCACGAGGCGATTATGATGGCCCCAGGGGGGGAAGCAAATTTACGACACTCCCCCTTTTGATCGATGGCCTCCCGAATGGCCCCAAGAGGCCTTCCAGGACCCCAAAGGACCCGCCAGGAGCCCCAAGAGGGCCCCAAGAGGGCCCTACGGCCCCGCGAAAGAGCCCCAAGAGGAACCCAAGATCCCCCAAAAGAATCCCAAGAGATCTCCAAGAGGGGATTTGAAAGCTCTGTCCTCGTCCTCGTTGGCCTCCAACTTCTCTTCCTTCATCCACGTTCTCCCCTTCATCCTTGACCTCATCGGCTTCATGTCAAGTTCCTTTTCCTCTGCTGCATTTCCGTCGTGGTCGTCGTCGTCGTCGTTTTCGTTTTCCTCCTCCTCCTTCTCCGCCTCCTCCTCCTCCTCCTTCCCCCCCTCTCCTCCTCCTCCTCCTCCTCCTCCTCCTCCTCCTCCTCCTCCTCCTGCTCCTCCTGCTCCTCCTCCTCTTCTTCGTGCTCGAATAGTATTACTATTATTATTATCATTATTATTATTATTATCATTATTATTATTATCATTGTTAGTATTAGTAATATTATTATTATTATTATTATTATTATTATTATTATTATTAGTATTACTATTATTATCATTATTATTATTAGTATTATTAGTATGATTATTATTATTAATAATAATATTAGTATTAGTATGATGATTAGTAGTAGTACTATTATTGTTATTACTATTATCATTAGTAGTATTATTGTTGCTGTTATTATTATTATTACTACTACTATTAGTATTAATATTAGTATTAATAGTACTAGATATATTACTATTATTATCATGATTATTATTATTATCCGGATTATTGCTATTATTTTCTTAGTACCCTGATTATCCGTATTCGTATTTGTCTTCTTAGTCTTACTCTTATGATTATGATTCGTAGTCGCATTCTTCTTACTATTGTTATCATACGTATTATTATTGCTCTTCTTATGATTCCCCACATGCTTACTGGGGTTATGGTCTTCTTCCCTGCCTCGTCGCACCCGCGGCCCTCACACCCCACCCTCGTCGCACCCGCGGGTTGGAGCGTGAAAGGGTGGATATGTCCGTTGCTGGGAGCCTTCTGTTTTCTGACGCCCTGAGTGCGGCTGAGAAGCGAATGTTGAAAGCTTTCCTTTTGCAGAGCGTCTACACGAATTGGCGTCTATTGCAAATGGGGTACACTATTCCTGACTCATCTTGCCCGCTTTGCGGTGCTATATCTGATGACTTGCATCACCGGCTGTTCCTCTGCCCTGCCACGAGGGCGCTGCGAGATGAGTTTCTTTCAGAGTTGGTTCAGAATGTAGTCATGCACGGGAGCGGGAAGTGCCCCTTGATGTTAGGCCTCCAAGTTGAGCCGGAGAGCATCTGTTGTCCACCTGACGGTCTGGGGCATGAGCGGTACGAATTCCATTGCGTGGATCCTGGCGCAACTGTACTTGAAGCCTTTAGAGGCAAGAGGCTCTTCTGGGATGGATCTTGCTTCAAAGACGGACATCGGGTACACCACAGTGCTGGTTGGGCTTGTGTCTGTATCACTGGTCATGGCGAAGTGGACGCTTCGATCTCTGGTAAAGTAGGTCGTCTCCCACCTCAAACCAGCCCGGCCGCTGAACATGTAGGTGTTCTTGCTTCGTGTAGGCATGCACCTTATGCCAGCGAGTTCTGCACTGATTACGAGGGTCTTGTCGTTGCCGCGGAGAAGGCTCCAGAGGCAGTTTTCGATCGAAGGTCCTATTATGCTGGAGTGAAGCTTCTTGGGATCCGTGCCTTCCCCAGGCCGCATGAGCAGCTACGCATTTCTAAAGTGAAAGCCCATGTAGATCTGAGTGACCTCACTCCCTACAACGAGGAGTGGTACCAGGCTAAAGGTAACCATTGGGCCGACTTACTGGCCAACTCGGCGGCGCTTTCGCACGCGCGCCCCTCGGCAGCTGAGCTCGACGAGCATTCTCGCGAGTGCCATCCTTTGGCCCAGTACCTCAAATTCGTATGCAAAGCACTGCTGCACTGGAGCTCCCTGGCTCCCCCTCGGCGCGGCCGCAGGGTCGTCCAATGCCCCCCCCCCGCCCCTCCCCCTCCACCTGCCCCTCCCCCTGCCCCTTCTCCTCCTGACAGTGACCCTGCTGTACCCGCCTGTCTCACAGTGGGCGGCCACCGCTGGGTGTGGAGGCAGCCCAGGTGGGTTTGTAGAGTCTGCCTGAGGCGCAGCCTGCGTGACCCTCCCTTGCCCACACCTGCTTGCAAGCAGGCTCACCCCGAGCTCCCCGCTCTCTTCGCGAACCCGCGCCGCCACCACTTGCATGTTACCCAATACCCTGGTGGCGTTATTTTCATTTGCATGGCGTGTGGATGCATGACCGAATCAGGACGACTTTAACAAGCTTGCGGAGGACTGCCTTGGAGGGCCAACCAGTGACCACCTCAGGTATAATCTCAAGCGAGTGCGGGAGGGTAAGACCCCTCGCACGCCAAGGGCAATGATGTTGTTCTTAAGGAACTTGTCCCTGTCTCCCAACTGCTTTAGTCGTCTCTCCTTGCCCCCCCTCCCTCATTGCATCCTCCTCCCCCTCCTCCTCCTCCTCCTCCTCCTCCTCCTCCTCCTCCTCCTCCTCCTCCTCCTCCTCCTCCTCCTTGGTGAGCCGACAGTCAGTTAGACAATTTTGTTTGACAGTTCCGCGTCGTGTGAACGTACACGAGGCGAGCCGACACTCTGTTAGACAATTCTGTTTGACACTTCCGCGTCGTGTGAACGTTTGTTTCAGGCGTGTGTGCTGAACCTGGCATGCATGTAAACCCAGCACACTCAGTGCGCGCTTGTGCGCGGTGTTGGCGACTGTGCCCCCTCGGTCCTGCCCACTGGCTCGCAGAGTGGAACACTCCACTACGTGCTGAAGGCACGGTGGCGGATTATTTGCTTTGGGAAATGACGTACTGGAGGCTTGGAGGAGCTCCTGAGGATGAGGGGGCTGCGACGCAACATAATGTGGCTGTTTATTGTCGATCGCCGGTCAAAAACTGACCGACGGTCAAAAATGAGCCCTCCGTGGCGCGGAAACTTAATGTCACGGAGTTGGTGCGTCACGGACTCAGTGCGCATGGCCTTTAAGTCTCAGTCGCGCACTCTTCTGGTGACGTCTGCCTGGTTGGCGGCGGCAACCAGTGGAACGGTTTGCAGCGCTGCTCTGCATGGGACTCATCGCGGTTGTTGTCTCTAGGTCGGGTCCTCCTGGCATGGTGTTTGGATGGCTACCTTATGCCGCTTAGCGGTGCAAGGTTTGCTCTCCAACCTTCGTTGCTGGATGGCCCAGCCTTGCTCTCGACGTGTCCAATCCAATCCAATCCAATCCTGCTCCTCCTCCCCCTCCTCCTCCTCCTCCTCCTCCTCCTCCTCCCTCCCTCCCTCCCTCCCTCCCTCCCTCCCTCCCTCCTCCTCCTCCTCCTCCACGTCCTCGTTGTCCTCCTCCTCTCCTTGCCTTATGAATAACTTCTCCCTGTTGCACCCCAAGGCAGGTCGAAAGGGCCCGGGCGTTTCGCCTGAGACTTCATCACCGCTCATGGCCCTGAAGCTTCAAATTGGCAACAGCTTCACAGATGGAGGGCGGGTGGTTTTTCAAAATGTGGAGTTGCTGTTTTGCCTGAGCTTCGAAGATTGAGGGCGGTTGCTTTTCAAAATATCGCTCTCGCCTTAGCGCCGCGCACAGTCCGTCATAGAAATTGCAAGCGATTCGCGGATTCCACTGGTCCGCGTACCAGAAATAGTGCTTTGGAGAGACTCAGGATTGTGAGGGTGCAACAGTTACTTTGGTTCGCGGTGTTGATGTCCCAGGAATGGCATCCTGGCACGATTCAGGATCGTCAAGACGCAACAATCAGGTTGATCCGTGGCGTTGGAGTCCCGAGAAGAACGTTTTGGCATTCTTCAGGGTCGTCAAACGGCTGTCTTCCGATGAGGCAGTTCCCTCAATGGACAAGGAACCCTTGTGGGGGCCTATGAAAGGGAGCTTGGAGTGAGGGCTTATTCCAACATCGTTGGTGACTCTTGGGGTTACACTGGTCCTCCTCCTCCTCCTCATCCTCATCATCATCATCATCATCATCATCAGCAGCAGCATCATCATCCTCCTCATCATCCTCCTCCTCCTTGCCCTCATCATTATCCTTCTCCATTTCCTCGTCCTCCTCTTAGTCGTCGTCGTCCTCCTCCTCCTCCTCCTCCTCCTCCTCCTCCAACTCGCCGTCGACTGCTCCTCCGTCGAAGGGCCCCCGCGGGCGGCAGAGGCCGCACAGGGGAGCGCCCGGCGGTGACGCTTTCTGACGTGGCGGCCGCCTGGCCCTGCCGAGGCGGCCGGGGCGCGGCCTGCCGGTCCCCGAGCTCGGGGGCCTCCCCGAGAGGAGCGGCACGCGCTTCACGCCGATGCCGATGCCCCGCCCTCGCGCCCGCCGCTCGCGTGCTCTCCCCGAAGCCCCCGTGGCCAAGGCCCGCTCCGCCTCGGGATGCCAGGCCACCCAGCTTCGCGCCCCTGCGCCGCCCCCCTGGAGAAGGGCAGCCCTCGGGCCCGGGCCGCGACCTGCAAGGCGCGGTCACCTTCGCGGCCCCAAGGGGGGCGACCGGAGAGTCCTGGCCAGAAGGCGCCCCGGGAGAGGAAGGACCAGGGAGCAGCGGCATCGGCATCGGTTCGTGCCTCCGCTCTCGGGGCCAGCTTCGGGGCCCGAAGGGGCACTCAAAAACCACAGCCTGCGCCGCGCGGGCCCCCCGTGCGAACGCACGGGGTCACGATCGTCGGAGGTCTGGCGCTTGCAGTCGGTGGGCGATCGCGTCGGTGTGGCCGCGGGCGCGGGGAACATTCCCTGGCGGAGCGGCGAGCTGCAGAGTCGAGGCCGAGGCTCGCTCAACGCGTGAAAGAGGGCGGGGGCGAAGGCGGGCAGCCTTCTGAGAACGCAGAGGGGGCGCGTCTTGGAAGTGTTGGGAGGCTTACACGAGGACTTCATTCTTAGAAGGCAGGAGGACTTCCACGAGGCCCCCTGCCTCCTGAGAAGGCCGCCCACCTGGCGCCACCCCACTCTGCGCGCCGCCGCGAGGCGGGTCGCACGCCAATCACGAGTCAGACCCGCACCGTCCCCGCGTCCTCTCTCTCCGTGCTGGACGCACCCGCGCCGTCGCCCGAGAGCAGCACCCGCATGTACTCCACGACCTCCCTCTGCTCCGGGGGCATGGCCTCGGACGACTCGCTCATCTGGGCCATCACCTCGTCGATGTTCACGCCGGCCGCGGCGTACATCTCGCGCAGGCGCTTGACGTCCTCCGCGGTCCAGCCCTGCTCCCCCGCGACCTCCTTCATCTGGGCCAGGAAGGCGTCTGGGGAGGTGGAGAACTGCCCGACGGTCCGCAGGAACTCGGGGTCCTCCATGGCCACCATGAAGTTACGCCTGGCCTCCTGCCTCTCCTCGGGGCTCAGGGACGAGTCCGGGGCGATCTCCTCGCTCTTCCGGAGGGCCAGGTAGACCTCGCCTGCCATCTCGTCCTCGAATAGCTCGAACTCGTTGCAGGTAGCGGCCCATCTGAGCTGGTCACCCACTGTGAGGAGGCCAGCACGCTGCATGCCGTCTCTCAGCTCACTGAAGCTGGCCATGGCCAGCTCCCCCAGGCTCTCCCGCGCGTCCAGCAGCTGCCGAACGTTCAGCGCCAGTCTTGCCAGGTTGATGGTGCGTACCGTCGGGTCCTGGTCGTCTCCCATCCCCATGAGCTCCTTTATCTTCTCGCCATGGGGGCCCGACAGCATCTCCGACATCTGTTGCTGGCGCTGCTCAGCATTTGGGATGAGGCTGGACACGCGTTCCTCGGACATCTTCGTAAGCTTGCGCGGAGTGAACAAACCAACGTTGTACACAGAGTTGCGTCTTATCCTGGACATCATCTTCAAAAACATCTGATAGCCCTCAAGTTTGTACTCCGTCAGTGGGTTTTTCTGGCCATAGGACCGCAGCGTCACGCTGCTCTTGAGGAAGTCCATGTTCTTCAGGTGCTGCTGCCAGAAGTTGTCTAGCTGCATCAACAAGATCCTGCGCGTCACCATGCCGGTCAGCCCAGGACCACTCTGCTCGATGCTCGTGCACTTCTGCGAGAAGGCGTCCCTGGCACTCCGCTGCAGGTAAGCCGTCACCGCCCGGACGCCATCGTCGCCGCCCAGAGCCGCGGCAGCCCTCAGGGCCTCGGGCGTCACCGTCTCCCGCATGGTAGTCCAGTAGATCCCCACGTTCTCTGCCAGCTTGTCCAGGTTCCAATCTTCCACGGGCTTCTTGACGTCGACGTGCCCCTCGACGAAGTCGTTCATGTTTTTGTCAGAGAACTCCTCCAGAGTGGACCGGATGCTGGCGTCGTCCTCTAGCAGTGCGCGCCTGCGCAGGCTGTACACAATCTTCCTCTGCGTGTCCATGACGTCGTCGTAGTCGAAGACCCCCTTGCGCACGCTGTAAAAATAGTTTTCCACCTTCTTCTGGGCCTCCTCGAGAGAGCTGGAGAGCAGCCCAGACTCCAGGGGCGTGTCGTCCGAGCCAGAAAAGGACATAGCCGAGACCATTTTCTTGATCTGGTCCCCTCCGAATATGCGGAAGATCTGGTCGTTGAGGCTGAGGAAGAAGCGCGTGGCGCCGGGGTCTCCCTGCCGAGAACACCGGCCCCTCAGCTGGTTGTCGATGCGCCGCGACTCGTGGCGCTCGGTGCCGAGGACGTAGAGGCCGCCCAACGCGATCACTTCCCGCTTCTCGACGTCAGTCACCTCCCTGTACTCCGCGGCCATCAGATTGTAGGCCTCGCGGAGACGCAGGATGGCCTCGTCTTCGGTGGGGGCCTTCTCGCATGCGAGCGACAGACGCTCGTCCGCCTCGAGCTCGGTAAGGTTGCCCTCAAGGATCTTGGCCGCGGCGTCCGTGGACGTGGGCGCCAGCTCCTCCGCGGAGTCTGGGGCCCACTCGGCCACGGCGGCTCGCACAGCGTCCCGCACCTTCGAGCAGCGCTTAACCGATCCCCATCCCCACTGGCAAGGCCTTGGCCCCACCGGCCGACTCACCCCCTCATCCTCGGGCTTCACTGGGGCGATGCCCACCTGGGGAAGTGGGTTGGTGGGGCTGAGATACCAATGCCTGTGGGGATTGGGATCGGCTAGACGATGCTGAGAACCTTGTCGGAGACAGATTTGGAGAGGTCGACCGGGAAGAACTCCTCCGGCATGACCCATGCCTGCCTCTTGGCCTTGAACAATCTCGGGAAGAGCTCCTCGCGCAGCTTCAGGCGCGCCATCATCGAGCTGTTGCCGCCGAGCAGGATGTCGGTGCCGCGGCCAGCCATGTTCGTGGAGATCGTGACCGCGTACTTGCGCCCGCTGCTTGCGATGATCTCGGTCTCGCGGGCGACATTCTCCGGCTTGGCGTTCAGGAGCCTGTAGGGCACCTCCGAGGCGTCCAGCAGCTCCGCGAGGATCTCCGAGTTCTCCACGTTGGTCGTGCCGATGAGCACTGGGCGGCCGATGCGGTGGGCGCGTTCCACTTCCCTTGCCACCGCCTTCCACTTGCCAATATCGTCTACGTACACCTGGTCGTCTTTGTCCTCCCGTATGCGCTGTCTGTTCGAAGGGATGACCACAACCTCGATCTTGTAAATCTCTTTGAACTCCTTTTTTTCAGTGAAAGCCGTGCCCGTCATCCCGCCGAGTTTGCCAAAGAGGCGGAAAAGGCTCTGGTACGAGATCGACGCCAGGGTCACCGACTCGGCCTGGATATCTACCTCTTCCTTGGCCTCGACAGCCTGGTGGAGCCCGTTGCTCCATCTTCTTCCCTCCATCACGCGGCCAGTGAACTCGTCAACGATGTTTACCTCGCCGTCTTTCACGATGTACTGTTTGTCTCTGATGTACAGCTCTTTCGCGTTGAGCGCATTGACGATGAAGGGGAACCAGGGGTCATCAGGGTCAAAGAGATCGCTCTTGTTGAGGAGTTGCTCCGCCGCCGCCACGCCCTCCTCCACCAGCACGCACTGCCTCTGCTTTTCGTCAACGGTGTAGTGCACCGCCTTCCTGAGGCTCTTGGCCACCTCCCGGGCGACCTGGTACTTGCCTGGCGCGTCCTGCGCCGTCCCAGAGATGATCAGCGGGGTCCGGGCCTCGTCGATGAGGATGGAGTCAACCTCAGGGATCGACCCAAAAAGTGTGTTTCGTTGTCGTGTTGCTTTCGCTCTCCCTCGTCTGCCTCCAATCAGCCTCTGCTGCAAAACGATGTCGGAACGAAAACAGTCCAGGAAGTCGCCAAAAAACACCGTTTGGGTCGACCCCTATAGTCTGCCTCGTCCACGATGCAGAAATGGAACGGGTGCTCCGCGCGCAGAGCGAGATCTGTCGGGCCAGGGCACATCTGATCTCGCAGGTAGTCGAAGCCAAGCTCACTGTTGGTCACGTAGGTCACGTCGCTGCGGTAGGCCCTCTGCTTCGCATCGCTGGCCATCTGGCCCTGCACAACGCCCACGGCCAGCCCCAGGAAGCGCAGCGGCTGCCCAACCCACTCGGCGTCGCGGCGCGCGAGGTAATCGTTCACGGTGACCACGTGCACGCCCTTTCCGCTCAGCGCGTTCAGGAAAGCGGGGAGGATGGCTACGAGGGTTTTACCCTCGCCCGTGCCCATCTCGGCGATGTTGCCCTCATGCAGCGCCATCCCACCTATGAGCTGAACGTCGAAATGCCTCAGTCCGAGTACACGGTCGGAAGCCTCACGCACCAGCGCGAAAGATGTTGCCAGCAGGCTCTCGAGGGACTCGCCCCCCTGCGCCCTGCTGCGCAGCTCCAGCGCCAGCTCTCGCAGCTCATCGTCACTCTTCTCCCTCAGGGATGGGCCGAGCGCGTTGATCTCGTCGACCTTCGGCTGGTACCTCTTCCGGGTGCTCTCGGCTGGGTCCTCCCGGAACGGGTTCAGGCTCTCCATCGCCTCCTCCCGGACAGCGCCGACTGATGCACCTCTGCCGACCCTGGCCGTGCCTGGCCGGGGCCAGGGACCGGAGCGCGCGCCTTCCTGCCTCGGCCAGGAAGGCACCTGCCCCGACCCAGGGCCCGTGATCCGCCCGGCCAGGAGCCAGAGGAGGACAGAGCGCACGAGGATCACCGCTCGGAGGCCCGCTCGCACTTCTTGGATCGCCGCTGAACCCCCCTCCCTGGCGCACGGAGCGCGCCAGGGGCGGCGCCGGAGGCGCCGCCAGGGGGGGCCCAGCTCCGACCTCAAGAGATCTGCGCAGCTCGCTGAAACTTTGCGTCCATGCATTCTTCTTCGAGGATCGGCGCTGGTGTACCGGTCGGCGCCCCAGCGGCCCATGGGGGACCCCCGCGGAGACAAGACATGCACCCGCAGCTCTCAGGCCCAGAGCGCAGGGCAAGAAAGACCAGATCAGGGCCAGCAGACGCTCCGAGGGCCCCTAGAGTACTGCACTGCGGGCTGGAGAACAGCATCTTCTCGCCTTTCAGTTGGCGCCCCCGCGATCCATGGGGTCACTGAAGAAGCGCCGCCCGACCCTCGGCCCTGCGGCGGACCGCGCCCGCCGGGCGCCCCTCGCGGCCACCGCGCCGAGGCACAGCGCCGCCCCGCCCAGCAGCGGCGCCGCGGCGAGGCCGTCCGCCAGCGCCGCCGCCGGGGGTGCCGCCGCGGCGCCCGGCTCCTCGTCTGTCGCGAGAGGCGCGGCGCCGAGCGCGCGCCCGCGCAGCGCTGGGGGGCCCACGAACGATGCGTGGGGGCACCTGGAGATCCGACGTCGTGGACAGGCAGACGCAGGCCCAGGCAAGGCCTCGGTAGTCCCAGGGAAGGCCTGGGGAGGGCCCCAGTAGGCCGAGGGGAGACTTGGAAAGGCCGACCTGGGCCTGGCGAAGGCCTTCCTCCCAGACGCAGGCCTGACTAGGAAGGCCTCGATCACGATGACCTGACAGATCACACTCGGACTGATCCGGTCGAAGGCCCCTGCGTCCGAAGCAGAGCAAAAACGCCCCGACATGTTTTGTTCACGACGTCGGGATCTGAGGGCACCCGCCGCGCCAGCACAGGACAACTCCGGCCCCGCCGCAGCCGGCGGCGGCCATGGGCAACCTTCGCCGCGGCATGGGCCCGCACGGAGGCTGTTTTCGCCAACGGCGTCAGCGCTCGAGAATCGCAAGCCTGACGCCTCCCCGAGCCTGGACGGATTGAGCCAACCCTGCACTCGAGGAGGACACCTGTACGTTCTAACGCCGGGGGCAGGGCCCTCAAGTGGGACCAAATCGGCCCCGCCGGCCCCGGTGCGCTCCCGGGCCCTCCCGAGGCGCTCCGAGATGGCACAAGAGGGCCCCGAGACTGTCCAGGATGGCACGGGACGCCTCCAGGCGGTCCACGAGGTCGCAAGCGGGTCACCGCGAGATCTTGCCGAGGCAGGCCAGAGGTACGCGGACAAGCAGCAGCTCGCCGCAAGTGCTGATCCCCGCGGTGTAGCTGGCTAGGGCTGGCCCGTGGACTACGTCCACGCGAGCTGAACGATCTGGCATGTGATGGCGGACACGCTTCCGACACGCTGGAATTCTGACGTGGGGCTCGAACTTCGCACTCAGCGCTTGCTACTGCCCGCTGTTGCTTGCTGCCGCCGCTGAATGCTGCAGGTAATGATTGCCGCAACCTCGTGCTGTGGCTGCAGTCCAGGATGCCACTTTCGGGCCCCTCTTTGAGCCGTCGTGGGGGCTCTGGGACAGTTTTGAGCCTCCAGGAGGCTCTTTGGCGCGTCTGGGGGGCGAGGAGGGAGCCGGGACTGTGTCGGAGGGAAGCGTTCCAACTTTGGGTTCGGGATCCCGGTCTTGGCACCTCTTACTGCCGTCTTGGGGGCTTCTTGTGCTGTTTCGGGGGTCTCTGGAGCCGTCTTGAGGGGCTGTTGGGCTGTCGTCAGGGCTCTCTTGGAAGCTGCTTGCTGATTGCTGCTCCTTCTTGCTTGTGCTTTCTACAGGAAACTGAGTTGTTTGGTTTGTTCCTGGAGCCCGTCTGGGCATTCGGGGCGCAGAGAAGCTGTCTGAGGGGGTGTCTTTAGCCGCCCTGGGACAATCTTGAGCCGTCTGTGGGCCGCATTAGGGTCAAGGCTGGAAATTGAGAAGCGCCTCCTCTTCTCACGATGTTCCATCTTGGTTGTGGCCGCCCGAGGAGGTCGGAGGAGGCGCGCGGGCTGCGTAGGCTTGGAAGAAGGCAGACGGCACTGCGGAGCATGCCGCCGGTGGCCGGCGGGTCCGTAGAACTCTCGGGGAGAACTCCCCGACGGCTCGCCCCTGCAGACCGGAGAGGCTCCAAGAAGGGAGGCCCAAGAGCTCTCCAAGGGGTCTTCCTCGGAAGCCTCTTGGAAGCGGTTTGGGAGTGCTTTGGGGCCTCTCGGGTGCCTTGCGGGGGCCTCTTGGGGCCTGTTTGGGGTCTCTTGGGGGCCTCCCAGGGTTTTTGGGGAGGCCTCTCGGGGGCTTGCTGGCGGCCTCTTGGGGCCTCCTGCTGTTTTTGGCGGCCTTGGGGCGGAGGGTGCGAAATCTCAGTTCAAGTTTCCCTTCTTGGGGCCTTGGGGCCGCGTCGGGCCGTCTTGGAGGCCTTGGGGTTGTCTTGGGGCCTTGTTGGGCCGTCTTGGGGGCCCCCTTGGAGGCCTGTTGGGCCGTATTGGGGCGATATTGGGGTCCTCTTGTGGGGCCTCTTGGCGCTCTCTTGGGCTCGTGGGGCCGTTTTTGGGCCCTGTTGCACCGTCAGAAAGCAATACGAGAGGAGAGGAAGGTTGAAGGGGGGAAGGGACGGCAACTTGCGTATGCGGGATCGAACGCGCCGCAGGTGGCCGCATCCGTCCGCGCACCGTAGACGAGCTGGCACTGGAAGGAAGAGGGGCCACGAAGGGAGGGAAGGAGGAGGAGGCAAGGGAAAGCTGATGGTGCGCGTGTGGTCGCCCAAGCCGTGCTTCCAGCGACTGAGAAACGAATGCACTCCCAGCTGGATTCATGCAGCGAACCTCGGACATTTACATATCGAACACAACGGCAGCCAGGAGGGGGAGGAGGGGGAGGAGGGGGAGGAGGAGGAGGAGGAGGAGGAGGAGGAGGAGGAGGAGGAGGAGGAGGAGGAGGAGGAGAACAAGAGGGAGGAGCGACAGCCAGGCGAACGTCCACAGAGAAAGAAAATCTCGTGCGCGCATAAACCACCTCCCCCGAGCATTGCCGAAGAGGGTACTCGCACAAGAAGCCCTCGCGAGCCCAACAGTATGAAGTAGGAACGCCCACCCGGAGACAGGGGGCCAGGTCCAATGGGCGAGCACGAAGTACCGAGGCTGCCAGTGCAGCGCCGAGGAGCACGGAGGAGCAGGAGAAGGAGAGCAGAAGGGAGCAGGAGGGAAGGCGCGGACGGCCAAGCAAATGCAATGAGCAAACTGGAGCCGGACTGTGGACGGGAAACTCTGAGAGCAAGCCGCCCCTGGCGTCCCCAATGCGGTGGGCGCCGCGCCCGAGGGACGGAGGCCAGCGCCAGTGATGATAAAAAGCTGGGGAGTCTAACATGCAATGCAAAGCTGTGATCGAACGAAGAGGAACGAGGGAGAAAATCGCCACACATGCACCTCCACCAAACACGCCCGCTAACGAGTGGTTCACTCTGCGAGGAGCACCTCCTCCGCCGGCAGCGGGTGGACCTGCTACAGGGCCCGTCGTGCTGCAAGACGTCGTGCGGCAAGCGCCCATTTCTTCAACGACCAGCAGTTGTAGCCAATGGAGTTCCTGAAGGCAGCGCCAGATAAGAACCTGCAGGCAGAAACCTCAAGCCGAATGAGACCAAACCAATATCCCCTGAGCCGAAAACTGCGCACACCGAAGCAAAGCCGATCCCAGGAAGCAAGACGGAACCTCAGAGGGCACGTTTCAGAGCCCCTGCAGTCCTAGGGTTTCACGGCGCTGGCTGGGGAACTGGAAACGACGGGGAGGCTGGGATGCAATCGTTGCTGCAGTCGGAGTGCCATGGGCAGCCGGCACCAATGGGATGCAGCCACTGCTTCCATTGGACCTTTTTGTTTACAGCGCAATTTTGGAGAAGGGGGAGGAAGAGGCGAAAGGGAGACCGCGCACACGCCTGATCTTTATCCACCTCGTGCCGGGGAGTCGGCAAGCAATCCTGCCGCGGGACCGTCATCGTCCTTTCCTCCCGAATGAGACTTGCAAGAGACCAGAACGCGACTGATACGAATTGCCCTCAAAACGTATCGGGCTAGACTTGCACACAGTGTGTCACAACCCCTACCGCATGGCCCAAACGGCCACTGCAGTAAATCCAACACAATATTATGGGATAGCCAGGGGGGAAGAGGAGGAAGGAGAGGCGACGAGAGGAGAAGAGCAGGAGAGGTGGACACAATACAATAGCAAGGACCGCGAAGTGGAAACCTATACGGCTGAAGCTGGGAGCCCGGACATTGCAGGCTAGACTGCCTTAGATCCAGCGTCGCTGCACGAGCCAACCTGCAATAGGCGAACAAATGCCACGAGCTGTCAACTACCGAGTGCTGCGCACCGTGCACGTGCACGGTTCGCCGGCCGTGTAAGACCACGAATGGAGCTGCAAATCTGGACCCCCTTCGAAGCGGAGAGATAACTCCGCGACGCGACATGCTGAAGAGGCACAGTAGCTAAATCAGAGTGGCGACACCCAGCGCCACAACATCCTTCACAGCGCCGATACCGAAAACAAACACCAAGAGGGAAGAGGAGACGGGCAAAGTGGAGGCAGCGAAAGGCGGAAGGCGACCGCCCACTCGAACGCTGGGGGCCTCAACCACCACGTAGAAACCTGCTGGCACTGATCGACAAAAACGCCGCACCTCTGGCGGGCGAGCAGGGGGAAAATGGGAAGGGGCGGGATTCCCGATGCGACGGACCCGCACCCCTCACACAAGGCAGAGCCTCTCCGACGCACCGGCGAGGCCGCTGCCTGGCCTCGACAGTTTGCGAGCAAATCTCGCCAGACGGGCGCCTCTACACCTGGGCGGCGGGGGGGGGATGGGAGGGGAGGAGGGGCGAGGGAGACGAGCAAGGCGGACGTGTAGGAAGTGTCGTGCGCGCGATCTATCGGCCACGCGGCCGGGACAGAGCCGACTGAGCATCCGCACAGCGCATCTCCGGATATGCACCTTAAACGCGGTCGCTGCCGAGGGGGAAGAGAGTGGAGTTTTTGGCCCCCGCGCAAACATCGCAAGGGGGGGAAATTCGTTACGTTCCCCCCCTCCCCCGTGCGAGCATGCAGGAGGGATACTGGGATTCTCGCGACGCCCGTCGCGGTGAGCCACTCGCCCTCCAGGCGGCCCGAAAGCAGCGACAGACAACAGACAGGTAGATGATCTAGCTTTCGCGACGCCGGCGGCGCGAGCGAGCAAAAAGATCCCCAAGACGGCCTTCCCTGCAAGCCTCTTGGACAGCAGCCTTGAAAACGTAGCCCGCCTCGGACTGCTCAGCGGCCCCGTGCCGAAGCGCAAGATGGGCCCTGTACAGCGCGTAGACGCTGACCCCGCGGAGAGCCAACGCTTCCTCACTTGTGAAGGACGCGGCCGAAACCCCCAGCGACGTAGAAGTCCTGAGGCCCAAGAAACAAGAGAGAGCAGCGCCGGGAGAAGGCCTCGCCAGGGCGCAGTAGTCGCTGCACCACCTGTGATAGCAGCCACAAAGCGCGTAGTGCTGGATACTGTCCGCACCAGCGGGGCAACCAAAAACGCATCTCGCGCCCCCATCAAAGCGGCGGGCGGCCACCCAACCGTTCAAAGCCGCGCGGAGGGCTGAAGCGAACACGCAGGGAGGAGCCGCCGCGCGGCCTAAGATCTCCAGGCACGTCAAAAAAGGCGGCGCACGCGCGCGCCCGGGAAGACGTCCACGCGCCAATATTCTAACCGACGGCATAAGACATCGACCGCGGCAAACGGGCGCTCAGCCAGAAGCTCCCGGACCCGCGTTGCCTGCCACGTCGCCTTGCGGCGCGCCAGCGTCGCCTGGGGCGCCGAGCATGACCGCGGCCAACCCAGTCGATGCTCCAACTGGTTCACCCGGTTTGCCGCCGCTTCCAGCACGGACAAGGAGTTATTGTCCAACCACTTCTGCACCGCAAGTGGGAACGCAAGAGGGCCGTCGCGGTCCAGTAGCAAGCGGCGGAGGCGCGCAGCCCCGGGAAGAGCTTGAAGCCCTCCTTGCTGTAAA